TACATACAACTAACCTGACAGTACCTGTCACTAACCTCTATTTACATACAACTAAACTGACACTTCCACTTTATATACAACTTACCTGAGAGTATCTATCACTAACCTCTATTTTTATACAACTAAACTGACAGTAGCTATCACTAAACTCTATTTACATACAACTAAACTGACAGTAGCTATCACTAACCTCTATTTACATACAACTTACCTGACAGTATGTATCACTAACCTCTATTTACATACAACTAACCTGACAGTACCTGTCATTAACCTCTATTTACATACAACTAAACTGACAGTAGCTATCACTAAACTCTATTTACATACAACTAAACTGACAGTACCTGTCATTAACCTCTATTTATATACAACTACCCTGACAGTACATATCACTAACCTCTATTAACATACAACTAACCTGACAGTACCTATCACTATCCTCTATTTACATACAACTAACCTGACAGTACCTATCACTAACCTCTATTTACATAAAACTAAACTGACAGTAGCTATCACTAACCTCTATTTATATACAACTAATATGACAGTAGCTATCACTAACCTCTATTTACATACAACTAATATGACAGTAGCTATAATTAACCTCTATTTATATACAACTAACCTGACAGTTCCTGTCATTAACCTCTATTTACATACAACTAACCTGACAGTATCTATCACTAACCTCTATTTACATACAACTAAACTGACAGTACATATCACTAACCTGTATCTATATACAACTAACCTGACAGTATCTATCACTAACGTCTATTTACATACAACTAACCTGACAGTATCTATCACTAACCTCTATTTATATACAACTAAACTGACAGTAGCTATCACTAACCTCTATTTATATACAACTATACTGACAGTAGCTATCACTAACCTCTATTTACATAAAACTTAACTGACAGTACCTGTCATTAACCTCTATTTACATACAACTAACCTGACAGTATCTATCACTTACCTCTATTTACATACAACTGAACAGACAGCAGTTATATTTAATCTCTATTTATATACAACTAATATGACAGTAGCTATAATTAACCTCTATTTACATACAACTATACTGACAGTAGCTATCACTAACCTCTATTTACATACAACTTAACTGACAGTACGTATCACTAACCTCTATTTACATACAACTAACCTGACAGTACCTATCACTAACCTCTATTTATATACAACTAAACTGACAGTAGCTATCACTAACCTCTATTTATATACAACTATTTACATACAACTAACCTGACAGTACCTGTCATTAACGTCTATTTATATACAACTAAACTGACAGTAGCTCTAACCTCTATTTACATCCAACTAAACTGACAATAGCTATCACTAACCTCTATTACATACAACTTAACTGACAGTACGTATCGCTAACCTCTATTTACATACAACTTAACTGACAGTACGTATCACTACCCTCTATTTACATACAACTTAAGTTACAGTACCTGTCAGTAACCTCTATTTACATACAACTGAACAGACAGCAGCTATATTTAATCTCTATTTATATACAACCTATTTACATACAACTAAACTGACAGTACATATCACTAACCTGTATCTATATACAACTAACCTGACAGTACATATCACTAACCTCTATTTACATACAACTTACCTGACAGTACCTATCACTAACCTCTATTTACATACAACTAAACTGACAGTAGCTATAATTAACCTCTATTTACATACAACTAAACTGACAATAGCTATCACTAACCTCTATTTATATACAACTATACTGACAGTAGCTATCACTAACCATTTAACTAACTATTTATATACTCATCAGTACTGATGGTGTAAAACTTTAAACACTGTATGGAATGCAATGATAATCATGACTATTACTTTAACTTTCCTGGCAATTTATTAGTGTTCTCTATGGTATAAACATTGTAAAAGTTCGACACAGGCTTGTGGGCGTGTGATGTCCTCAGTGAATCTTAGGGTTGACACAGGCTTGAGGGCGGGTGATGTCCTCAGTGGATCTTAGGGTTGACACAGGCTTGTGGGCGGGGGATGTCCTCAGTGAATCTTTGGGTTGACACAGGCTTTTGGGCGTGTGATGTCCTCAGTGGATCTTAGGGTTGACACAGGCTTTGGGGCGTGTGATGTCCTCAGTGAATCTTAGGGTTGACACAGGCTTGAGGGCGTGTGATGTCCTCAGTGAATCTTAGGGTTGACACAAGCTTGAGCGCGTGTGATGTCCTCAGTGCGTCTTAGGGTTGACAAAGACTTGAGGGCATGTGATGTCCTCAGTGAATCTTAGAAAAATATCTACCTCAAGGGTTTGCTTCGATTCTACATGACTGCATTATAACTCAGTAAAGCTAATTCTACAGCAAAAGCCTACAACAGAAGCAGCTGTAACATTTATTGTGTTATGTTGACTACACTCTTGTGTAATTGCAGTAATTGAATGTTATGATGATGCTACAGTAGACATTGGCCCCTCGGGATTCAACAGTTGGATCTGTCAACCAAGCGAATAACGTCATCAAAGCAGTGCACAATGCGTCAGACTAAATGTGAGTCTGTTAGCTGTACTGTTAATAACAAGGCGATCAAAGTAAATCACACACTGTGTACCTGATAGGTCAATAACTATATCAAGGTGATCAAAGTACTTCATAAGTCACACACTGTGTACCTGATAGGTCAATAACTATATCAAGGTGATCAAAGTACTTCATAAGTCACACACTGTGTACCTGATAGATCAATAACTATAGCAAGGTGATCAAAGTACTTCATAAATCACACACTGTGTACCTGATAGGTCAATAACTATAGCAAGGTGATCAAAGTACTTCATAAGTCACACACTGTGTACCTGATACGTCAATAACTATATCAAGGTGATCAAAGTACTTTATAAGTCACACACTGTGTACCTGATACGTCAATAACTATATCAAGGTGATCAAAGTACTTCATAAATCACACACTGTGTACCTGATAGGTCAATAACTATAGCAAGGTGATCAAAGTACTTCATAAATCACACACTGTGTACCTGATAGGTCAATAACTATAGCAAGGTGATCAAAGTACTTCATAAATCACACACTGTGTACCTGATAGGTCAATAACTATAGCAAGGTGATCAAAGTACTTCATAAATCACACACTGTGTACCTGATAGGTCAATAACTATAGCAAGGTGATCAAAGTACTTCATAAATCACACACTGTGTACCTGATAGGTCAATAACTATAGCAAGGTGATCAAAGTACTTCATAAATCACACACTGTGTACCTGATAGGTCAATAACTATATCAAGGTGATCAAAGTACTTCATAAATCACACACTGTGTACCTGATAGGTCAATAACTATATCAAGGTGATCAAAGTACTTCATAAATCACACACTGTGTACCTGATAGGTCAATAACTGACAAAAAATGTACTATAGGAAACAGTCATAAAATCTTAATAACAGTTAAACAACCAAAAACAGTACCGAATAGTTATATCACATCTGTAACGCCCGAGTACTACAGTGAAACGTAATTAAATTGTGACATCATCAGCATCAATTAGGAGCAGCATATTGTATTACATCATTGCAGTACTGTTCATAACACAATATAAATGGAAATTAATTGAGAAATATCTGAATTTCAACTACAGCCATTTTCTGTGTAATTCAAGGTCGCACTATGAGCAATGACAAATTAACAGCGAGATGTGGCTGGCTAACAAGCCACTTTGGCAGCTTACTTTTGCATCACTGCCCAGATGAGATATGGAGCACACATTGAACATTATTCAATATCAGTGAAATAGTGCCTGCATACTCCCTCCTGTATTGATTCAGTCTATATAAATGGCTTGAAACAGTAGAATGAACCCAGCACCCGAAATCCAGAAATCTAAACCAGTTAACGATCTTGTAAGCATTAGTTACATATATACTACAGTATATTTACCTGTGTAGTGGAGACAGACATAGTTACTACCACCAGTCCACAGTAGACAGTAGTAAACACTTGTTAATAAGTCACAGGGAGACAGTTATACTTACTACCACCAGTCCACAATAGACAGTAGTTAACACTTGTTAATAAGTCACAGGGAGACCATTATAGTTACTACCACCAGTCCGCAATAGACAGTAGTAAACACTTGTTAATAAGACACAGGGAGACCGTTATAGTTACTACCACCAGTCCGCAATAGACAGTAGTAAACACTTGTTAATAAGACACAGGGAGACAGTTATAGTTACTACCACCAGTCCACAATAGACAGTAGTTAACACTTGTTAATAAGACACAGGGAGACAGTTATAGTTACTACCACCAGTCCACAATAGACAGTAGTTAACACTTGTTAATAAGACACAGGGAGACAGTTATAGTTACTACCACCAGTCCACAATAGACAGTAGTTAACACTTGTTAATAAGACACAGGGAGACAGTTATAGTTACTACCACCAGTCCACAATAGACAGTAGTTAACACTTGTTAATAAGACACAGGGAGACAGTTATAGTTACTACCACCAGTCCACAATAGACAGTAGTAAACACTTGTTAATAAGACACAGGGAGGCAGACATAGATGAAGACATACATGCTTATAAGAGAGGGAGAGACAGACACATTCATAAGAGGACAGTGAAGACATATACAATGAAAGGGGGAGACACTCACATTCACAAGATGGGGGAGACATACATTCTCACCAGGCAGGGAGAAGAGCACTAGACATAAAGTCTGGGACAGACAGACACAAAGACTGGGGCAGATAGACACAAAGACTGGGGCAGACAGACACAAGGACTGGGGCAGACAGACACAAGGACTGGGGCAGACAAACGCAAGGACTGGGGCAGACAGACACAAGGACTGGGGCAGAAAAAGAAACACAAATACTGGGACAGACAGACACAAGGACTGGGGCAGACAATCACAAAGACTGGGGCAGACACACACAAAGAATGGGGCAGACACACAAAGACAGGGACAGACACACACAAAGACTGGGGCAGACACACACAAGGACTGGGGCAGACAGACACAAGGACTGGGGCAGACAGACAAAGACAGGGACAGACACACACAAAGACTGGGGCAGACAGACACAAAGACTGGCGCAGACAGACACAAAGACTGGGGCAGACACACACAAGGACTGGGGCAGAAAGACACATAGACCGGGGCAGACACACACAAGGACTGGGGCAGACACACACAAGGACGGTGGCAGACAGACACAAGGACTGGGGCAGACACACACAAGGACGGCGGCAGACAGACACAAGGACTGCGGCAGACAGACACAAGGACTGGGGCAGACACACACAAGGACGGTGGCAGACACACACAAGGACTGGGACAGACACACACAAGGACGGTGGCAGACACACACAAGGACTGAGGCAGACACACACAAGGACGGTGGCAGACAGACACAAGGACTGGGGCAGACACACACAAGGACGGCAGCAGACAGACACAAGGACGACGGCAGACAGACACAAGGACTGGGGCAGAAAAAGAACCACAAATACTGGGACAGACACACAAAGACAGGGACAGACACACACAAAGACTGGGGCAGACACACACAAAGACTGGCGCAGCAAGACACAAGGACTGCGGCAGACACACACATAGACCAGGGCAGACACACACAAGGACTGGGGCAGACACACACAAATACTGGGACAGACACACACAAGGACGGTGGCAGACACACACAAGGACTGGGGCAGACACACAAAAGGACGGCGGCAGACAGACACAAAGACTGGGACAGACAGACACAAGGACTGGGACAGACAGACACAAGGACTGGGGCAGACAAACACAAGGACTGGGACAAACAGACACAAGGACTAGGGCAGACAGACAAAAGGACTGGGGCAGACAGACACAAGGACTGGGGCAGACACACACATAGACCAGGACAGACAGACAAAAGGACTGGGGCAGACAAACACAAGGACTGGGACAGACAGACACAAGGACTGGGGCAGACACACACAAGGACTGGGGCAGACACACACAAAGACTGGGACAGACAGACACAAGGACTGGGACAGACAGACACAAGGACTGGGGCAGACAGACACAAGGACTGGGGCAGACACACACATAGACCAGGGCAGACAGACACAAGGACTGGGGCAGACAAACACAAGGACTGGGACAGACAGACACAAGGACTGGGGCAGACACACACAAGGACTGGGGCAGACACACACAAAGACTGGGACAGACAGACACAAGGACTGGGACAGACAGACACAAGGACTGGGGCAGACAGACACAAGGACTGGGGCAGACACACACATAGACCAGGGCAGACAGACACAAGGACTGGGGCAGACAAACACAAGGACTGGGACAGACAGACACAAGGACTGGGGCAGACAGACAAAAGGACTGGGGCAGACACACACAAAGACTGGGACAGACAGACACAAGGACTGGGACAGACAGACACAAGGACTGGGGCAGACAGACACAAGGACTGGGGCAGACACACACAAGGACTGGGGCAGACACACACAAGGACTGGGGCAGACACACACAAGGACTGGGACAGACAGACACAAGGACTGGGGCAGACAGACACAAGGACTGGGGCAGACAGACACAAAGACTGGCGCAGACACACACAAAGACTGGCGCAGACAGACACAAGGACTGGGGCAGACACACACAAGGACTGGGGCAGACACACACAAGGACTGGGGCAGACACACACAAGGACTGGGGCAGACAGACACAAGGACTGGGGCAGACACACACAAGGACTGGGGCAGACAGACACAAGGACTGGGGCAGACACACACAAGGACTGGGGCAGACAGACACAAGGACTGGGGCAGACACACACAAGGACTGGGGCAGACAGAGAAACACAAATACTGGGACAGACAGACACAAAGACTATAGCAGACAGACACAAGGACTGGGGCAGACAGACACAAGGACTGGGGCAGACAGACACAAGGACTGGGGCAGACAGACACAAGGACTGGGGCAGACAGAGAAACACAAATACTGGGACAGACAGACACAAAGACTATAGCAGACAGACACAACGACTGGGGCAGACAGAGAAACACAAATACTGGGACAGACAGACACAAAGACTATAGCAGACAGACAAGTTCAGAAGACTAGGAGAGAGACACACAAAGTCTCAAAAACACACTCAAGGTCACACTGTATACACCACTGTAGGTAGGTTGTACTGACTTTCCCATCACAACAAACACAGTACAAAGCTCCGAGTTCTGTAATGTGTGACCACACATCAATACTTGATCACGAGAACTCACTTGGAGATTCAACGTACTAACACATCACTTTCCTCCTATATACCCTTCATTACACAGCTAAAACTATGTTGGTATTTATGGTAACCTGGGCCTTTGACATATTAATTTAAAAACAGGCACTCCTTTTCCATATACAGCTCACAGGAACTCCATTATAAGTGAATAAACCAGATAGAGGGTAGGAATGAGCCAGTTTACATTTAATAAACGCTTTCTTCCTACTGAGCTCAGCAGGCTATGGCTCATGAAATATTCTTAGAATGAAGTTTTTGCTTAGCCAGTTCTGTATAATGTCACTTTTCAGGACGTTAATCGTGATTGGTCAAGTCAAAACTTAAGACAATTTTCAACTTAAGAGCGTTTCCTGATCTCAGGGCACCTCACGTCACGAAGAGTTGTCGGGCTTTGTTTAGCAGACGGACAGTCAATTAATACAGATAGAAACTTTCATTAAATGTCAATTTTGATTTATACCGAATAGCTGCAGGGACTAGAGTTAATTAAAATGTGTTAACTGTCAAAAAGTTGATTGTAACTGGTGTTCTCCTATCGGACCTTGGTCAACTGATATTCGTCTGCACAGCATAACAACCACAACACCATGGTTCACAGCTGTGTGTCATGACTTTGTGACTAGGAGTTCACAGTTGTGTGTCATGACTTTGTGACTAGGAGTTCACATCTGTGTGTCATGACTTTGTAACTAGGAGTTCACAGCTGTGTGTCATGACTTTGTGACTAGTATAGGAGTTCACAGCTGTGTGTCATGACTTTGTGACTAGGAGTTCACAACTGTGTGTCATGACTTTGTGACTAGGAGTTGTTCATAGCAAGGTGTTCATAGTTTTGTGACCACCTGGAGTTTGACTCACAGATATGAGCTCCACTTGGTCTGAAACTCATGAACACATAGCTGTGAGCCATCTTTGGTGATAAAGCCATATTAACACACAGCTGTAGTCATACGTTGGTGATGAAGCCATATTAACACACAGCTGTAGTCATACGTTGGTGATAAAGCCATATTAACACACAGCTGTAGTCATACGTTGGTGATGAAGCCATATTAACACACACCTTCCTTTATGGTTAAAGATGGGGGAATGAAGTCACCTCTGTGATAATACAGATTTCCTATAATTAGTAATGGTGACCTTGATCTTGACATTGGCATCCTGAAACACAAATTTCATCAACCAGTGGGGTTTTTCATTCTTAACTAAGATATGAAGTTTGATCAAAGTCAATCCAGGAATTAAGTTGCAAGAGTGATGAAAAAATAATTCTATAATAGAAACAGTGACCTTGACCTTGGCACCCTAAAACACAAACTCATTCCAGGCAACATATGAAGTTTAATCAAAATCCTTTCAGAAATGAAGTCGCTAAAGCAATGACACATATTCTCTTTAAACAGTAATAGTGACCTTGACCTTAGCACCCTGAAGTACAAACTTGTTCGAGGTATTCTCCAACCTGAACAATCTACACAATTTGATGAAGATCCTTAAGCTTTCAGAAATGAAGTCGCTAGTGAAATATAATAATGTGAACATGCATTTGTATATAAGTACAAACGGAACGCTATCTCTTCAACAGCCTTGTCACGAGGGGGAAATAACAATCTGTATCAGTTCTTCAAACAAAACTATCATCACTTTTTAAGTTATATTCCTACACCATGTTTTTTGTGTACTGCATGCAATTTATAGAAATTTCAAATTGTTTTTGACAGATGACTCCCTAGGCTATTTGTGTTTTGTACAAGTTTGTGGTTCAGTGTTTGTAACATATCTGATCAAATTACACTGAAAAGCCTAAACAGCTGCAGGCACAGTGAACAGTACAACATTGGTGAATGGCCTTACTTCAGTAGATCTAATGTAGCTTACATGTCCACCAGTTGTTAGGTCAGTGGTACAAATATTGTTTGTACAAATTAACAGTTGACATTATCCTTTACCGAGGGCATATATATACCCAACTCAGAAACAAGTTAGTGTCGTTACAACATAATGATCTACAGTCATGTCATTCAGCTTCAGACTGATCTTGAGCGCTCACTAGCTACTCTAACATTATAAATGTCAATGTACATATAGGACAATGTAGGTTTCAGACTGAGCGCTCACTAGCTACTCTAACATTATAAATGTCAATGTACATATAGGACAATGTAGGTTTCAGACTGAGCGCTCACTAGCTACTCTAACATTATAAATGCAATGTACATATAGGACAATGTAGGTTTCAGACTGAGCGCTCACTAGCTACTCTAACATTATAAATGTCAATGTACATATAGGACAATGTAGGTTTCAATTCTTATCTGCTGATAAATATAGGTATGACTGAAAATTTCTGCATGTAAAAGAAGATTTCAGGAATCTGCTTGATTTTTATCAAGCTTGCCTATTGTTACATATTCCTCAGTTGTCCTGATTCAGGAAGTCATTCCAGGTGTTTCAAACAATTCAGAATTTCAAAATTTGCATGTCGGTAAAACAAGAAAACGTCTTACAATAGCGGTAAAACAAGAAAACGTCTCACAACAGTGGTGAAACAAGAAGACATCTTACAACAGTGGTAAAACAAGAAAACGTCTTACAACAGTGGTGAAACAAGAAAACATCTTACAACAGCGGTAAAACAAGAAAACGTCTTACAACAGCGGTAAAACAAGAAAACGTCTTACAACAGTGGTGAAACAAGAAGACGTCTTACAACAGTGGTAAAACAAGAAAACGTCTTACAACAGTGGTAAAACAAGAAAACGTCTCACAACAGTGGTGAAACAAGAAGACGTCTTACAACAGTGGTAAAACAAGAAAACGTCTTACAACAGCGGTAAAACAAGAAAACGTCTTACAACAGCGGTAAAACAAGAAGACTGCATGTTCTTTTTTTCCCAACACATCTTGTGCACTTCTATGCTACAGTGTATAGACAGTAATTTAATGGAAGTATTCCGAGTACCAGATTTTAATTACTTTAGTAATAATTAGAGCTCAGATGCTTTACAGCAGGATCAAGTTTTATGTAAATAATTATTTACAATGTAAAATGTACAGACTAAATCTAAAGATATCTACCAAATAAAACAAGAGGCCCAGGGGCCTTAATAGCTCACCTGGTATTTTATTTTTCAATTTAAAACCTGCTGAGTACCATTCAGGTTTATCAGAGGAGTACAAGTAACAAAGTTGCATCTTCCATTTATAAATATTCAATTCCCTTTGCCCAAAGATTCTCTAAAACAAGTTTGGTTAGGTTAAAATCCCTTCAACGGTACAGAAGGAGAAGGATCTTTAATGTTTTCCTCTATTTCCCCTAATAGGCCCCACTAATCTGCCCCAAAGAAGGGGAATCCACACACCTCAGTTTAAACAAAATTGATTCTTTTCTCCCTAAGCATGCTTCAGACTGCATTTGGTTTAAATCCCTTCACTTGTATAGTAGGAGAAAAAAAATCCTCTATTTCCCCTATTGGGCCCCGCTCCTATGCCGCCAGAAGGCCCACACCCTCCGTTTATACAAACTTGAGTCTCCTTTGTCCAAAGATGCTCTAGGACAAATTTGGTCAAAATCCTTCAATTGGTTGAGGAGAAGATTTTTAAAGATTTACCTATTTTCCCCTATTTGGCCCCGTCCCTCTGCCCCCAGGGGGACCATACCCTCCGTTCATACAAAACTGAGAACCCTTTGGCCAATGATGCTCCAGACCAAATTTGGTCAAAATCCCTTCATCGGTACAAAAGGAGAAGGATATTTGATGTTTTCCTCTATTTCCCCTAATGGGCCCCACCCATCTGCCCTTAGAAGGAGGCCCACACACCTCAGTTTATACAAAATTGATTCTTTTGTCCCTAATCATGCTTCAGACTGCATTTGGTTAAAATCCCTTCACTTGTATAGCAGGAGAAAAAAAATCCTCTATTTCCCCTATTGGGCCCCGCCCCTCCGCCCCCAGAGGGGCCACACCCTCCGTTTATACAAACTTGAGTCTTCTTTGTCCAAAGATGCTCTAGGACAAATTTGGTCAAAATCCTTCAATTGGTTGAGAAGAAGAACATTTTTAAAGATTTACCTTTTTTCCCCTTATTTAGCCCCGCCCCTCTGCCCCGAGGGGGGGCTATACCGTCCGTTTATACAAAACTGAGAACCCTTTGGCCAATGATGCTCCTGACCAAGCTTCAGACTGCATTTGGTTTAAATCCCTTCACTTGTATAGTAGGAGAGAAAAAATCCTCTACTTCCCCTATTTGGCCCCGCCCCTCTGCCCCCAAAGAGGCCACACCCTCCGTTTATACAAACTTGAGTCTCCTTTGTCCAAAGATGCTCTAGGACAAATTTGGTCAAAATTCTTCTATTGGTTGAGAAGAAGAAGATTTTTAAAGATTTACCTATTTTCCCCCTATTTGGCCCCGCCCCTCTGCCCCCAGGGGGGTTATACCCTCCGTTTATACAAAACTGAGAACCCTTTGGCCAATGATGCTCCTGACCAAATTTGGTCAAAATCCTCTGAGCCATTCAGGACAAGTAGCATTTTAAAGGAAAAAGTTGACGGACGCCGGACGCCGGACGCCGGACGACGGACGACGGACGCTGCACCATGGGATAAGCTCACATGGCCCTTCGGGCCAGGTGAGCTAAAAACAGAAAATGCCATTTCAGCAGAAATGTGTCCAATCAATAACAATCTCATAGCAGACATTGCTAACCATACAGAAAACCCACAAGGAGATCAATTTATTCAAACACAAACCCAAATTTCATAAAACATAATGATTTTCACAACTTGGAAAGCTTCAGATATC